GCTTAACCAACTGAGCCACCCAGGCGCCCATCATTATTAATTTAATACACTGTTTTTTAAATGAGGGTAATGCATCTAAACATTGTGGAATGATTGAATTATAATTGCTTTTGAGGACTCTAGGAAAATATTTAAGGATTACTTTCTTGTAAATTTTAGAAAATAACTTAGGTTTTACATTTTGAAGTTTAAGTTCCAAGTAGAAATGTCTTCCTGCCCCCTAACTAATTCTTGCAGTATCCATGGAGAATAAATATTAAACACTCAGTTCTTTTCCAGTTAAGATTAATATAACATCATGAATGGATTTCATATGGTGTTTGTTACCGTTCGTTCCCACAATGAAATTATATGGAAATCTGTGGTAGTGGGAACACCCTGTATTTTAGAGTACACTTTGCTTTGGGAAGGAAAGGAGTACGTTTGCGGTAAGAGCAGGAAATTTCACCCTGTGTAGATACAGGACTGACTCATAGGTGGTCAGTGGGAGTTGCTGTGCGCTGGCTTCCGGGGTGTAGAGCAATGGGCAAACCCATTCTTGTCCTCTCCAAGCTGCCGAAAGTCAGCTTCTTGGAGTCTACAAGGGAAGAAAGGACATGCCATTTTGTGGGAAGTGTGTTTTGTCTCGATTTCCAGCAGCCGTGTAGTAACAGCGTAGGTTGTTGTCCGTTGTACTGATCACCTGGAAGAAGACACACGATCAGTCAAGCCAGCTGGGTTGCCAGGGAATTTAAGAGAAAGCCCAGTAACTTTCTCTTTCTAAAAGAGGTGTGCCCGAAAACAAGTCTTGAATTCACCTGAAAACCATGTATCCCTGGAGTTGGTATCATTCGGCCAGGGGTGTTGCAAAAATAGAAAATGACACAGCTGCTTCCGCACAGAAGATAAAGTATGGAAGCACATCTAGCAGGTCTTGGCTTCTGTGAGATAATATTGCTGCTACTTTGTTAATGCTTGTAAGTATCATAAGATGTATGCATTTATATTTGAGGATTCGGGGCCTAGTGTTATGAACTAGAAACCTTGGACACCTGTTGCTTTAATTGGTAGTCGTAGGCACTTTCTTACAGCTGTGGCACTTGATGGCAGTTTTCACTGCGGAGAAAATGTGGTACAAGTCTCTGGGGATTTTATCTCCTAAAAGGAGAACAGCACAGAGGCAGATATGCTGTGAAAAAGCCTTACGATTTCAGGTGGCATATATACCTGTCCTTCCAGGTTAAAGCAGGAGGTATGGCTTTCCTGTTCACGGTAGGGTATCAAGAGCCTACTGTCATACCTGATACACCGTAGGTGCTCAGTAAATGCTGAGGTGAGGATAGAATTGGTTATATATAGGCAGGCCCTCCCTTTCCCTGCTCCATTATTTGGGGCAAACCTATGGTGTTACTTATGCAACTCTTCTCATGTGGTTTTTAATGTCTAAACAAGACAGCAAGTGACTCATTTTTCTGTGCCTCCATTTCTTCATCTTTGAAATGGGATAATAATATTACTGATCTTATAGGGTTATGAAAAGGTGTAAATTATTTGTTAACATCTAAAGTGCGTGGAATGGTGCCTGGCACCCAGTAAACATTGAATAAATGTTTGCTTTTTTTTTTCATTATTCTATACTTATGGTTTATGGTCTCCAGCCCCTCGCCAAATATATGTCCTATAAGGACAGAGACTTAGTTTGTGTGGCTCATTGCTGAATGACAGCAACAAAAACAGTCTGACACCTGAAATATATTTCTTGAATTAATTAATAACTACACAAGTACACAATGAATAATAAGTGACATAACTGTGACATAGAAAACTTTATTGAGAAATAAAACTCCTGCTTTATTGGATAATTTTATCTGAGTATTTAAAACAATTTTTTATTGAGCTGTAATTGATGTACAACATTATGTTAGTTTCAGGTGTACCACATCATGATTTCATATCTGTATACATTGCAAGATGATCACCACAATAAGTCTAGTTACCATCCATCACCATACGTAGTTACAAAAACTTTTTTTTTCTTGTGATGAGAACTTTTAAGGTCTGCTCTCTTAGCAACTTTCAAACATGCAGCAGAGTATTATTAACTATAGTTGATATGCTGTACGGTACATCCTCATGACTTATTTATTTTATATGTTGAATATTCTATGCTAATCATTTTTAAATGCTTTTTCTAAATCCCAGAAAGGCAGCAGAATTATTGGTATTCAAACTTCATCTGTCACTGCCTTCTCTTTTCAGCTTGAAAGAAATATCTTGTGAATTATGAAGGAAAGCAAGTGTTGAAATTAGTGTTGAAATTAGTCTACCTATTAATACAGCTCAGTAAACCACTCCAAACTTAGTAGAGTAAAACAGTGGCCCTCTTTTATGCTGTTGGATGCTGTGGGTCAAGAATTCAGATGGGGCACAGTAGAGTTGGCTTGTCTCCATGATACATGGGGCTTCAGCAGGGAAGACAAATGATTGGGGGTGACTTGCATGAGTGAATGCTGGAATCTTCTGGAAGCTTTATTGTATGTCACATGTCAGGCTCCTGGGCTAGGATGATTCAAAGTGTGTGCTGAGTTGGGACTGTTGACTAGAGCCACCTATATGTGGCCTCATGTGGTTTGGGCTTCTCACAGATGGCTAGGTCCTGAAGGAGAGTGTTCCAACAGGAAACCATCCTGATAGAGAACCAAGAGGAAGCCTGCAGTAGCCTGGGAGATCAGACAGTGTCACTTCTGCAGAACTCCATGAAGTCAAAGTCAGCACAAGCTTGCCCAGAGTTGGGGATGGGGCATGAAGATTCCACCTCTCAATGGGAAGAGTGTCAAATAATTTGTGACCATTTTAAACAGCCTCAATCTGATGGGTTGTTTTCAGAAATGGTCACAATAATCTCTCCCCTTGTGTCTACACCCT